ATCATGATGTTGCTTATTGGCCCAGTTGTGAGAATTTTTCTTTTCTTTATGTTGAGGTATAATCCATACTTAGGCTATGGTCTTTGATCTTCATCAATAAGTGCTTCAAGTCTTCTTTATTTTCAGCAAGCAAGATTGTGTCATCTGCATATCACAGGTGGTTAATGAGTCTTCCTCTAATCCTGATTCTTTATATAGTCCAGCTTCTTGAATTATCTGCTCAGCATATAGATCGAGTAAGTGTGGGGAAACGATATAACCCTGAAGCACACCTTTCCTGGTTTTCAACCATACAGTATCCCCTTGTTCTGTTTGAATGACTGCCTCTCAGTCAATGTACCGCTTCCGCATGAGCACAATTAAGTCTTCTGGAATTCTCATTCTTCACAATGTTATCCGTATAATCTGTTATGATCCACACTGTCGAATGCCTTTGCATAGTCAGTAAAACACAGATAAACATCTTTCTGGTATTGTCTGCTTTCAGCCAAGATCCATCTGACATCAGTAATGATATCCTTCATCCCTTGCTCTCTTCTGAATCTGTCTTGAATTTCCAACAGCTCCCTGTCAATGTACTGCTGCAACCATTTTTGAATTACCTTCAGCATAATTTTACTTGCATGTCATATTAACGATATTGTTCAATAATTTCTGCATTCAGTGGGGTCATCTTTCTGTGGAATGGGCACAGATAGGATCTCTTCCAGTCAGTTGACCAGGTAGCTGTCTTCCAAATTTCTTGGCATAGACGCGTGAGTGCTTCCAGAGTTACATCCATTTGTTGAAATGTCTCAATTGGTATTCTGTCAGTTCCTGGAGCCTTGTTTTTCACCAGTGCATTCAGTGCAGCTGGGACTTCTTCCTTCAGTACCATCGGTTCCTGATCATATGATACCTCCTGAATGTTGAATGGTTGAATGTTGACCAATTCTTTTTGGTATAGTGACTCTGTGTATTCCTTCCATCTTCTTTTGATGCTTCCTGCGTCATTCAGTTTTTTGCCTATAGACTCCTTCACTATTGCAACTCAAGGCTTGAATTTTTTCTTCAGTTTTTTCAGCCTGAGAAATGCCAAATGTGTTTTTCCTTTTTGGTTTCTAACTCCAGGTCTTTGCACATCTCGTTATAATACTTTGTCATCTTGAGTCACCCTTTGAAATCTTCTGTTCAGCTCTTTTACATCATCATTTCTTCCTTCCCCTTGAGGCTGTAATCTAGAACACATTTTTGATAGCTGCGTATAATTTATAAATCTAAAGCAATTGTGTACAGCTAGGTAAAGCAGATTTTCTAACTCCAAATCTTAGATGTTATTTGCAAAAGCATATTTTAAAATGAATATACTATGTGGTTTTCTTGTATTGTTGGGTTTTATCTTGAGTGTATGCTTTTTAAATGGAGAATGCAAATTCTAAGTACCAAAACTTGAGTTCCCTGAATGTGCCCCTTTCTTACTCTTAACCTCAATTATCTCTACAAGAATAAAGTAGAATCAAAGTATTCAGCATTATTAACTCCCCCTATCAAAAAAAATCGTGTATTACCTTTATATCTACCTAAAGTGAAATTTTGATTCCCCTAGAACTGTATCTGCAGAACTTTAGTGTTTACTTTGAAAAGGGAGATTCAGGAAAGAAGTTTATACTTTTGTATTGGAAGAGGCCATAAAGACGACCCCATTCCACTACCTCATTTTCTAAGTGAAAAGATGCACGGAAACGTGGAGCTCCTTTATCGGGGCCTCACGTCCTGCCAGCATGGAGTTGGCCTACTGGGCACAGTGCAAGCCTCCTGTCAGTTGTTTTGTTTCTTTACAGGATTTGCAGGACATCGAACACTGAGTAGTCATCCTAAAGATAGGAAAACGTGGCAGGGAATCCTACAATAAGGTTTTACAGGGCTTCAGTGAGAGAAATGAGGGAGAAGAGCAGGCCTCCCAGCGAAGCTTCCCTCACTGCTCTCCTTGTGGAGGTGAACGTGTACATAAAGAGGACAGCAGACACAGTGGAAGTGAGAGAGGCACACTGAGTATAAAGTTAATTGGTGACATGTTTTAAATGCAGTCAAAGCTTGAAAATGCAGTACTGTTCCCTTGCACCACCACTCCCAAATAATGATCATCATGATTTCTCAAATTTTGTTTTCCTTGAAATTTTAACATTTGTGATCATAAAATTATTGATCTTTTTCATCAGACTTTATTCTGACTGATTTTGTCCCTTATAGAGCCATTGTTTTTCCTGAGATACAATTTTGTTACAGAAATAAGTTGATAATATTTTCAGTATACAGAATTTTACAGTTAGGTTCCATTTATGAATAAAGAAACATGATCTGTTTCTCCTTTAACACTAATAAAGGTAATAATATGTAAATTAGACTTGTAAAAATGTTTCTAGGGAAGGTGGGCTGATGTATGCGTAATGGTTTCTGCTGTTTAAGTGAGGGTAGCACGTACCTCATCAGGTAATTATTTGGGAAGTACTGTTTAGCACTCCTTTCTTCTTTTCCTAAGAGATCTCTTGGCTTTTATTTCCTTTTGACCTTCCATAAGCAGAAGGCAATCATTCCAATTACTTGCCAGCTTTTCCTGGAGATTTATGTGATCTACAGTGTGTCTGGGATAAAAGCTGTGCTTACCTTGCTTGTTTGTTCATCATTGTGAGCCTCAAGAGGAGGAGGGCTCCTGTTGAAGCCTTCTTTGTATGAACTATGTAGCTTATACAGTGTGATGGTTAAGATTGTGTGCCAACTTGGCTAGGCCATGATTTTCAGTGTTTTGGCAGTCATGTGATTTTGTGGTCACTTACCTGTTGAGATCTGATATGTGATCACCCCCATGAGGGGATCTGCTGTGAGTAGCCAGTCAGTTGAAGGGGAGTTTCCTTGGGCGTGTGGCCTGCATCGAGGGTGGGTGGACGTTCTGGCAGGGCTCGAGGGCCTTTGCTTGTTCTGGATCTTGTAGCTGCCTCCTGTTTGACCTTTGGTTCTTGGGACTTGAGCTAGTGGCTTACCTGCGGTCTCACCTGCCGATCTTGGGATTCATCAATCTTCGCAGCCTGAGATCAAGAGCCCTGCTTTCCAGCCTGCCGATCTTGGAATTCATCGATCTTCGCAGCCTGCGAGCAAGAGCCCTGCTGTCCGACCTCCGATCTTGGGTTTGCCAGCCCTTGCGGCTACGTGAATCAGGAGAAGCCTCTATCCTGATCCACAGGCTTGGGACTGTTACAGCCTCTACAACCACGTGAGCCATTTATACGCTTTACTGGTTTTCCTTCCCTAGAGAACCCAGCCTAAGACACACAGCCTTTTTCTTCTCTTTCTCTTTGACTAGATCCTTGTTTGAAGCTGATGATTTCAGCAGCAAGTTTTAGGTGAGGCCAGTTTTTAGTTATTGGCTAATTCTTAAAGTCATCTGAGCTAAGTAGGCCATAGAGAATTTTCAGTGTTTATCTCACAGTCATGGATGAATATATTTACTTAATTTTCTTTCTTTTGTATTTAAAAAATATTTAGCACCATTCTATAGCTATTAGAGTAGAAATTACTTGTCTTCTAGTTAATGTGTTTGTCCTTTCACATAGTACATAGTAGACATTTCACAAATAATACCGTATTTCATTTTGGTATAGTCTTAAAACAAGTTAAGAAGGTTTCTCCTCACTGGTAAGAGGAGTTAAAATTTTATTTGGCCCAGTGAAAACATTTTGGATTCATATGACATTTCATGAAATGTTTATTTTCATGCATTCATTCAATAAATATTTGTTACTTGCCAAGTAACAGGTTTGGTACTAGGTATACAGCAAACAAGACAGACAAAGCAACTGCCCTCATGGGGCTTACAGTCTTACTTTTATAAATGTGCTAAATAGTCTCCTAATAATAATATTACCCCCCATTTATTGAGTTCTTATTGTGTGTCAGATAATGTACAGTCTGCCATCCATAGTCACCGTTTTTAACCAACCATGGATTGAAAATATTCAGGAAGAGAAAAAAGAAATTTCCAAAAATCAAAACGTGAATTTGTGGTGTGCCAAGCACTACACTGAATCCACACAAATGAAATGATGTGTAGGCATACTCTGCTGTAGCCTCTCACCATTTCACAGATCCTCAGTCTCTAGCACTTCTTGTTTGAGCAGTCTTCACCTCGCTTCTCATTCATTTACTGCTTGTGTCCACTCTGTTTCTGTGAAAAAACAACTCCTAAAAAGCAATTAAGTTGTCAAAGCAATCCCTCAAAGGCTAAAAGGGAGTGTAAAGTGCTGTCTCTCAACGAGAAAATAAAAATCTTAGATCTTTTGATAAGTGGCATGTTGCTTGCTGAAGAGAGTCGTAAGTAAGGTCGGTAAGAACAAATCGAGCATTCACACAATAAAGCAGAAAGAAGCTGAAATTCATGGAAGTGTTAGTGCAGCCCCTACAATGGCAAAAATGGTCTCTCTGGTTCATGATAAGGTGCTTGCAAAGACTGAGAAAACATTAAGTGTTAAGTATAAGTATTAACAACTATTTACATACTATTTATATTGTATTAGGTATTATAAGTAATCTAGAGCTGATTTAAAGTATACAGAAGGATGTGTGAGGATGTGCGTAGGTTATATGCAGGTACTACACCATTTTATATAAGGCACTTGAGTATTCCATCAGGATCTTGGAACCAATCCCCTATGGATACCGAGGGATGACTGTATTAAGCATTTTGAATACATTAGTGTTACTATATCTCTTCTTTTCTAAAGGAAGAAACTAAGATAATAAACTAGGTCCGTTTCGTTTCACTGTCATGAGGGGCAAAACCAGGACTCAGCCCAGCCTGTCTAATTGTAAACTGCTTTTAGTTTGTCTCCCACTGCCTTGACCCTTGGACATGATAATGTGTGGTGCCTCATGTTAAAATAAGTATTTAATAATAAAATGTCATTAATTAGTATGAGAACACTAATGTCTAGGAAATCTCTATATTTCTCTGCCCATACCTTTCTCAGGAAGAAACTGTCCACAAGTCAACCAGCAGCAGCAGTGTTTCCCCCTCCTTCCTTGAAGACCCCTTACTGGAAACCATGTCAGTAAAGAAGAGTAAGTATTCGTGGTACAAAGAGTCACAACCACTCTAAAATACACTGGACCTAGGATGAGGATAAGGATCCCAAAGTACCCTGTGATCATTTTATATGGAAACAACTAACCATGAAATTTCACTAGTCAGGAGCAGAAAGATTCAGTTTTTTTCCTAGGGTTGCATCATAAGATAGGGCTAAGCTGGTAACTGCGTGTCAGGTTCCTAACACGACATCAGTAAGATTTTTGTTTACAGATAATAGTTTCTAGTTGTAGGAAGTAAAGCAACTGTTTTATACACATACACATTTAGATTAATTATCACCTTGTCTGAATTTAAGCCAGAATCCCTAATCACATTTTTATTCATTCCCTCCCTACACACACACACACTTTCACATGTATGTGTAGATATTAAAAACAACTTTATAACTCTTCATGCAGTAGGATCTGACCGCAGATATCTAAGGTTAAATGATTTCTAAATGCTTTCCATAATATTTTTCATTTATAAGATAATCTTGAAGGATTAAAAATTAGATATTAGCCCTAATAAAAGGAAATGCATGGACAAGTATAGGGGCTAATAATAAGGTATTCATGCTTGATAATTCTAAATGTTTTGTCTTCATGTTTTTAATAAATATATAAAAGGTAATGATAAAATTATGTTAACAGAGCATATAAAATATAAAGATGTAATTAGTGATAACAACAAAAGAGGGAGAAAGGAATGATATAGATATATAATTTCTTATATGTTATTGCAGTTTGTACTAACTTACTGTAGAATATTATAAATATAGGGTCTTAAATGTAATATTCATAGTAACCACTAAGAAAATGTATAAAAAATATACACAAAAAAAGGAGAAGGGAACCAAAAAGGCTCACTACAATAAATCAACAACACACAAATGCAAGCAGTACTAAAGGACAAAAACAAACAAGGTGTAAGACACACACACAAAAAATAACAAAATTGCAAGAGTAAGTCACTTCTTTTCAGTAATTACAGCGAATGTAAATTGAAAAATACTCCAATCAAAAGACAGAGAGTAGCAGAATGGATAAAAAAAACATGATCCAACTGTATGCTATTTACAAGAGACACACTTTGAACCCAAGGACACAAATAGGTTGAAAGTGAAAGTAGTAAAAAAATATTCCATGCAAATAATAACCAAGAGAGCTGGGGTGACAATCTTAATATCAAACTAGACTTTCTCTCTCAGAAGAGATAAAGATGGACATTATATAGTGATAAAAGGGTCAATTAATCAAGATGTTTTAACAATCATAAATATATATGCACCCAACATTGGGGCACCTAAGTGTATAAAGCAAACACTAATAGAATTGAAGGAAGGTGTAGATAGTACTACAGTAATACTTGGAAACTTCAATGCACCACTTTCAATATTGAACAGAACATCTATAAAGAAGATCAGCAAGGAAACAGAGGACCTGAATGGCACTGTAAGTCAACTAGAACACTCCAACTAAATACAGCATAATATACATTCTACTCCAGTGCACATGAATCATTCTCTAGGACAGACCACATCTGAGGCCACAAAGCAAGTCTTGATAAATTTAAAAAGATTGAAAGTATTTTCTCTGACCACAACAGAGTGAAGCTAGAAATCAATACCAGGAAAAAAACTAGAAAATACACAAACATATGGAAATTAAAATACTATTAAATTACCATTGAGTCAAGGAAGAAATCACAAATTCCTTAGAGTCAAATGAAAATGAAAGCTACAACATACCAAAACTTACGGGATGTAACAGAGACAGTACACAGAGGGAAACGTATAGCAATAAATGCCTACATTAAAAAAAGAAGAAAGATGTCAAATCATCAGCCTCACTGGACAACTCCAGGAATTAGAAAGAGAAGAGCAAAATAAACCTAAACCTACCAGAAGAAAGGAAACAACAAAGATTAGAGCAGAAGTAAATAAAAACAGAAAAACAATAGAATCAATAAAACCAGAAGTTGGTTCTTTGAAAAGATCAATAAAATTGAAACTCCTTTAGCTAGACTGACAGAAGATGGAAAAAACCAAAATAAAAAATGAAGGAGGGGACATTGCAACTAACCCGATAGAAATTAAGAGAATTATGACAGAATATTTTGAACTACTGTTTGGCAGCAAACTGGATAACCGAGATGAAATGGACAAATTCTTAGAAGCATACAACCTACCCAAACTGACTCAAGAGGAAATAGAAAGTTCAACAGACCAGTAACAAGTGAAGAGATTGAATCAGTGATCAAAAACTTCCAACAAAAAAAAAGTCCTGGACCAGATGGCTTCGCTGGAGAATTCTACCAAACATTTAGAGAAGAATTGACACCAATACCGTTTAAACTCTTCCAGAAGATAGAGAAGGAAGGAATACTCCCTAATTTATTCTATGATGCAAACATAACCCTGATACCTAAACCAGACAAAGACACCACATAAAAAGAAAACTACAGGCCAGTATCTCTTATTAACATAGGTACAAAAGTTCTCAACAGAATATTAGCAAACAGAATCCAACGGCATAATTAAAAGGGTCATACACGATGACCAAGTGGGATTTATTCTAGGAATGCAGTTATGGCTCAACATTAGAAAATCAATCAACATAATACACCATATCAATAGAACAAAGGAAAAGAACCACCTGATCATTTCTTTGGATGCAGAAAAAGCATTTGATAAAATCCAACACCCTTTCTTGATGAAAATCCTAAAGAAGACTGGAACAGAAGGGAAATTCCTTCAGTATGATTCAGAGCATATATGAAAAGCCACCAGACAACATTACGCTTAACAGAGAAAAACAGAGCTTTCCCGTTGAATTCGGGAACAATACAAGGGTGCCAGCTCTCACCAGTTCTGTTCAACATTGCATTAGAAGTCCTAGCCCGAACAATAAGACAAGAAAAATAAAGGTATCCAGATTTGAAAAGAAGTAAAATTATCTCTATTCACAGATGATATATTCCTACATACAGAAAATTCCAAAGAGTCCACAAGAAAACTTCCAGAGCTAATAGAAGAATTTAGCAAAGTTGCAGGATGCAGGATCAACAAACAAAAATCAGTTGGGTTTGTATACACCAACAATGAGGAATCTTAAAGGGAGATTAGAGAAACAGTTCCATTTATAGTAGCATCTACGAGAATGAAATACCTAGGAATAAATCTAACCAAGGATGTGAAGGACTTATACAATGAAAACAAAATGCTGCTCAAAGAGATTGAAGATAGCTTAAATAAATGGAAAGATGCTCTATGTTCATGGATTAGATGACTTAATATTGTTAAGGTGTCAACACTACCCAAAACAATCTATAGATTCAATGCAATCCCAATCAAAACTCCAAGAGGCTTCTTTATAGAAATAGAAAAACCAGTCCTTAATTTTACATGGAAGAGCAAGAGGTCCTGAATAGCTAAAACAATGTTGAAAGAGAAGAACATAGTAGGAAGACTCACAGTTCCTGATTTTAAAATGTCCTATACAGCTACAGTAATCAAAACAGCCCGTTACTGGTATAACAATAGACACATAGACCAATGGATAGAATTGAAATGTTAGATACAAACCCCCTCATCTGTAGTCAGCTGATTTTTGACAAGGGAGCTGAGTCCATTCAATGAGGAAAGAAGTGTCTCTTCAATAAATGATGTTGGGAAAATTGGATTTCCAAATGCAGAAAAGCAAAACAGGATGCATGCCTCACACCATATGAAAAAACAAATTCAAAATGGATTAATGGCCTAAATGTGCCAACTAAAACCGTAAAGTTCTTAAAAGAACAAGCAGGGCAATGGTGTCAGGCCTTGCTTTCAACAATGGATTATCTAACATAGTGACAAAAGCACAGACAGCAAAAGACAAAATAAATAAATAGGACTTCGTAAAAATTAAAAACTTTTGTTCATCAAAAGACTACCAAAAAAGTGGAAAGACAAGCTACCGACTGGGAGAATATCTTCAGAAACCATATATCTGACAAGAACCTAATAACCAAAATATATAAATTATTCAACAGCTTAACAACAAAAAGACAACCCAATCATAAAATAGGCAGAGGACTTGAATAGACACTTCACCAAAGAGGACATTCAAAACGGCCACTCAATACATGAAAAGATGCTCAACATCATTAGCCATCAGAGTGTTGCAAATCAAAAACTCAGTGAGATATCATTTCACTCCCAGTAGGATAGCTAAGATTTAAAAAGAAAAAAAGAAAATAACAAATGTTGGTGAGGATGTGGGGAAATTGGAACCCTATCCATAGCTGTTGGGAATGCAGAATGGTACAGCCGGTGTGGAAAACAGTGTGGTGATGTGATGGTTAAGATTGTGTGTCAACTTGGCTGGGCCATGATTCTCAGGGTTTTAGCAGTCGTATAATGTTGTATCACTTCCCCGTTGAGATTTGATACATGATCACCCCCATGATGGGATCTGCTGTGAGTAGCCAGTCAGTTGAAGGGGAGTTTTCTTGGGCATGTGGCCTGCATTGAGTGTGGGCGGACTTTCAGGCAGGGCTTGGGGGCTTTTGCTCGTTCTGGATCCTGCAGCTGGCTCCTATTTGTCTTACCTCCGGTTTTTGGGACTTGAGCTAGCAGCTTATCTGCGGTCTTGCTTGCCAATCTTTGGATTTGTCAGTCTTCACAGCCTGTGAGCAAGAGCCCTGCTCTCCGACCTGCTGATCTTCGGTTTGCCATCCCCTGCAGCTACATGAATCAGAAGCCTCTATCCTGACCCACAGACTTGGAACATTACAGCCTCTACAACTGTGTGAGCCATTTCCTTGATATAAAAATATATATATACACACTTTACTGGTTTTGCTTCTCAAGAGAACCCAGCCTTTCCACTCCCAGGTATTCAGCCATAAGACTTGAAAGCAGAGACTCAAAAAGAGACTTGTACACCAGTGTTCATTGTAGCACTATTCACAATAGCCAAAAGGTAGAAACATCCTAAATGCTCATCAGCAGATGAATGGATAAATAAAATGTGGTACAATGGAATGCTGCTCAGCCAGTATGTGAAATGAAGTCTTGATACATGCTACAGTATGGATCCAGCTGGAAGACATTATGCCAAGTGAAATAAGTCAATCACAAAAGGACAAATACCGTATGATCTCACTTATATAAAAAGACAAGAAAAGGCAAATGTATAGAGAAGAAAGTTTATTAGTAGCTACTAGGGGCAGGAGGGAGGGGGCAATGGCGGGGTTAACAGTGATGGAAATATCACCTTGATTAAGGGTAGGGTTGCACAGCTGATTATTGTAATTGCTGTCAATAAGTTGTACACCTGTAAAAGGTTGAATTGGCAAAAGTTGTGTGATAAATATATTTACAACAGCGACCAAAAAATAAAAAAAGAGTAGCTGCTGAGGCTGCCCATGTACAGCCAAAAACCTCATGGAATTTGGTTCCTTTGTTTGGAGTTTTAGGTTCATGGTTTCATGGGACATCCCAGTTAACTGGCCTAATAAGATGTTTAGTGCTTCTGCTACCTAGTTTGTTGTGTAGTGTCTTGGGTCTTAAAAGCTTGCAAGCAGCCATTCAAGGCACAACAATTGGTATCTATTCACCTGGAGCAACAGAGGAAGAAGGGCAGTCAGGAATAGGAGGAGGATATGGAATGTGTGGCTAATTGCCTCCATGAACAACTGCCTCCTTTGCAATGAGACTGGAAGAACTGGATGGTGCCCAGCTACTATTACTAAACATTTTGATCAAAGATTTCATAGAAGAATCCTGATCAAAAGGGGGTGGGAGGAATGTAGAACAGAATTTCAAATTCTCATAGTCTCCAGACTTCTTGGAGCCATTGAGGGTGAATGAACCCCTGAAACTATTGCCCTGAGATAATCTTCAAACCTTAAACCAAAAAATATTCCCTACAGTCATCTTAAAACCAAACAGTAGTTTAGCTTAACTAGGAAGAAGATCTGCCTTGAGCTTTATGCTCTTTTAAGAACTGTCTATAAGGGATCAAATTGACAACAGCAACTCGAAAGATTTGATAAGAATCTCAGGTTCAGTGAGTTTATGTTAATGAGGGAGGAACAGCTCAGAAGAGGAGGGTGAGAATGGTTGCACAACTTGAAGAATGTAAGCAGTGTCACTAAATTGTACACATAGAAACTGTTTTAAAACAAAAAATGTTGACAGATTGTGATAAATGTAACTAATGTCACTCAACAATTTGTGTGAAATTTTCAAGTGGGAACCTGACTTGCTGGGTAAACTTTCACCAAAAACTGAATAAAATACGTATTTTTTAAAATTCTATATTAAGATTTTCTTAGAACATCTATTTGATTTCCCATAAACACAGAGGTTTTAACAGTTAAAATTATTACAATAGTATTTTGATTTACTTAAACAGATTATATCAAAAACAATAGGAGCTGACCTTGGTTATTATCTGTAGTTGGTATTTGGCCATGCCCATTAAATATTATAGAGACCCAGTTACATCAGTAGTGGATTTCTGTGTGTTTTCTCAACTGGAAATTATGTTCTTTGTTTTCCTTCAGTGATTCCTGTTAGTGGTACAGTACAAATAAATGGATCATATTTAACTTTGTGTTGACTTTCACTTCCCTATACCCACTACATCAAGCAGCCTTACTTTGCAGATCTCATAGGCGGAAGTAGTGAAACTCTGGCAGCATAATTTTTTCTCGTGTTCTCCTAATGTTTTCAAAATGTGAATCCAGAACACTTCAGACCCTAAAACATTCTCTTTTTAAACGCTGTCCCAAAATAAAACTAAGCAGAGGAAACGATGGTACAGTATTAATATCAAAGCTGAACTTTTTTTAATTATTTGTAAAAATGGCATGGCAGGCATCGGGCTTCCTCATCTAACTTCATAAGAGGGGAGGAGAATTATTATCAACATCAACAGCCCAAGGCTGATTCCTATGAAGCAGAGGTCAAACATACCTCTTCTATCCAAACTTTTTACTAATTTTGACACCAGCCATCCCCCCAACGGCACTGTCTACTTCTCTCTGGGTTCGATAATTTGTTGCAGTGGCCACACAACTCACAGACAACACGATTATGGGGTTTATTAGGGAAGTTTAACAGGTTACAATTCAGGATCAGTGACAACTCGATACAGTTCTTCAGTCAGGACAGGCTCTTCTCAGCCATGTCCACAGGCAGGTCTCTCTCTGGCCCTTGGCCCCTCGGCCTGGCCTCTGCCCTGAAAATGTTGCAAGTATGACAAAGCTCTTTAGCTCTGCCAATAAGTGCCCAGAGGTACCCCACTCTGCCAGTAAGCCTCAATCCGAAGGCACTCAGCTATCTCACCCTGAGGGTTGGCAAGCCTCCTGCCCAAAGGCACTTAGCTTTCTCCCTCTGGCTCCTGCCAGTCTCCTAGTTCTGCTGCCATCATTTCTCTGCCACTGCTTCTCGCCGTCTCTCGCTGTCTTCAGTGTTTACAACTCTCTTTCTCTGTCTCTTGGGTCTAGGAGGTTCTCAGTGCAGGGATCCCGGGTCCAAAGGATATGTTCTACTCCTAGCTTTTCTTTCTTGCTTGTAGTGAGGTCTCCCCTTCCCACCCCTGGGATAGCACATTTTAAGCTTAGTGGAATGGCAAAACTGACCAATCCCCTCATTAGGGTTCCATACACCTTATTTGTATAGTCCCACCCCCACAATGGTGCCATGCACCTTATTTGTATTATTAGCAAGCTGTCCAATCCCCTTGGTGAGCCACAAGTACCTTATTTGCATAGTTCCACTCAGTCTTTTGGTGAGAGTTACAAGACAATGGCTAAAAAGGCGATGTAAAAGTTCCCATTGCACCACATTAAATAGAGGTTGATTTAAACCTAAGGACAAAGATACACTTGAGAAATTTTAGGGTGATTTGGTTTTTTTGGCCACACAGAATACATATTATTATTTTTTTTTTTTTAAAATGCCTGAGACTCTTTCATTGCAAAATTCTATGGAAAGTAACATGAGGGCATTTACATGTACAAATCTGAGACTATGCTTACACATTGTTTTTATGTTTGAATTTGAATGAATATTAAAAATACTGAATATTTTTTCTTTTTCCTTGCTATTTCTATAGCAATTTTATCTGAAAAGATTCTTCTATAACAATCCTAAAAACCTCCCCCCTAAGGACTACCATCAGAGTATACGGACTACCATCAGAGTATACTCCTCCAATGAAGCAAACACTTCACCTTTAAATGCAGTGTTAGTCACAAATAATGAAGGCTTTTCTGTTAGTACATTTAAAATCTTTTAAGATTTTTGTTTTGTAAGAGACTTCATTTGGTTAAATCTGTAGAGCCTCCAAAATTCTTGCCCATATCCTCAACACCCCAGCCAGAGAGACGGCAGCCACCCCAGAGACGCCATTCCATTGAAAAGGAAACGCCTACTAATGTAAGACAGTTCCTGCCGCCGTCCAGGCAGAGTTCTCGGTCTCTGGTGAGTAACCCAAAGGCTCAGTGTGCTGTCTGAAGGGTCGGTTGGAAGGCCCAGAATCATTAACTTCGTTGAGAAGATGATAAGGAGAAAAATACTTCCAAAGTTTAGAATGAACTTTAAATAAACTTATTTATTTTTAATAGCTAAACAAACCTTAATAGTAACCTAAATGAAACTTGGCCATCCTTTGTTCATTTTGAGTACTTTTTTTTCCCTTCAGAAGACTTATCAGTGGTTGACAGTATGAATTGCTATTAAAGAAATGCTTTCTTCCTTTCAAGGAGTATTCATCCATTTAAAAAATATTAAATCCTAATTTAAAAAGAAAAAAAAACTCTTAGTAGGGTCTAACTACAGCAGACTGTTTTATTGAGGCAGAATAAGGGGGCAGAATTTTGATCCATCAGGTGCCATTGTACATTGTTTTCACATATGCTTTGTGATACTGGGGGCCAGACCTGACGTGTGGACTAGTTAACAGTTTTTGCTGTCTTCCGGGAGACTTCTAGGTTTGTTTTGTTGTTGTTGTTAGGTGCCGTCGAGTCAGCTCTGACTCATGGCGACCTTATGTATAACATAACAAAACATTGCCTGTCCTGTACCATCCTTAAAATAGTTGCTATGTTTGAGCCCATTGTTGCAGCTACTGTGTCTATCCATCTCACTGAGGGTCTTACTCTTTTTCATTGATTGTCTCCCCAAGTTTTTTAGTGGCTCATGTTTCTCAGGACAGTGGAACACAGTACACTAGGACCCTGCCAGGAAGAACTCAATAGACCCACGAGTCAAAGGAGGTCTGCAAAGATTCTTCTGTAGTCCCACTGGGCTTTAGCAATATTTGCAGGCAAGATGCAAGGCTGAAATCAATTAAATATACCCACAGTCTAATATCTGATGCTTTTTTTTTTTCAGATACTCATGAATAAAAAAACACTGGAATGTATTTAATCTATTTGTTTTAGGCTGTTATGAATCATCAAGGGTTTCAATGAAGCAACAACAGATGTCCCTCTCTCACCCTGGGAGAAAAAGAAGACAAAGTAAAAGGAGATAGTATGGTTATTATGAAGAGATTGAGTTTGAACAGAGCTTATAATTTTGAAATTTGGTAAATCATTCCTGTTCCCAAACAGTACGATTAAAGAACTAATGATTTTATGGCCATTCCTGGTAGTAGTTCTGTAAGTCCTAAATAATCACTGAAACACTGCCATTTGTTGAAATACAGCCTTGTTCATGATTTACCAGCAGAAGAGCAGAACTCTGACCAAACAGGTTCAAACTAAAATCCAAAACCTTTGTTAGTATGAATAAGTTGTTGCTTTAGCAAAATATGCTGTTATTGTCACAGCTTAAAATACATAAGAGGAAACTCCTTTGTAATTTTTTTTCCTAAGTCCAATAGTTAGAATGTTCTTCTTTTAACCAGGTTTTCCTAGAAGCCAGTCTGTCAGTCAGTTACATACCTGGGCTTTGTGATTCTATAACATCACTATTGAGGTTAGACCTAAACTAAATTGAAAATATTATTAATGTAAAGGAATTACCACATCAACCACCAAAGTAGTTTCAACTAATTATAGTCAAAAATTATGCCAAGAAAGGCTATCAGCCCACATCCAAGGCCCGTGGTGAAGCTGAACTCTGAGTATGTACTTGATCAGACTGGAAGTTGTTTGCTCTGGGAAGGAGAGCAAGATAAAACCCATTGGCTGGCACCAAGTGGGTTCTAAGTGAAAAGGCCAGAGTGAGCCCCTCTGGGTGGCACTGTGAGATGCTTAGGTTTAAATGTCGACCTGGGGCATGTTGCTCACACAAAACTACGGCTCCCTCCAAGTGCCTCTGGCACTGAGACAGACCAGATTTCAGGTCAAAGGAATAAATTTTATTGCTAGTAGTTTGTCTTGGGCAATCCATAAAATCACACAGTGCCCTCTAACTTGGTAAGTATTATTTTAAAAGTGTGATAACAAAAATTTTAGCTGCATTTTAGAACACATGGAATCATTTAATAAAGCCCTCAACTGAAAATGGCAGAAATGCTTTTGTTATTAATCTTTACTTTTATTATATCTCCCTCCCTTTCCTTAGATGTTTAAGATGTAGTTTTTTCACCATTTGGTCAAATGATTGATGGTGGTTGCCCTTCCAGGTGCAAGGCGACTTGTCTGTAAGCACCTTCCCCATGGCAGGAGCCAGCCAGCTCCTGGTGTCCACTCCTAAATTTACGTTTTTGCCATGTGAACTATGGGACTCTATCGGAACGACTTCCTGGTTGGATTACTGACTGAGTGTAGGCGTTGGCATGGACACCCATATGGAATCTCCCATTAATGTTCTCCATGGTGTTTTTGTTCTGTATTATTTTTCTTTCATGATCAAGAATCGCTGTTTGTCGGTCATTCATTTTCAGCATTTTCTCCTTTTCTTTTTCCCCTGCCATTTTCTTTTTTCCTTATCTGTTGTTCAGGTTCCTGGGATAACCAGTATATGGCCAAGGACGCCTTTCCGACCACTTTTTTCTACCATACAAACAGCTTCTCTGCTCAGCTCTCATCCTTTTGAAGCAGCCATGTTTGGGGTAGCAGGGGCTATGTATTATCTGTGTGAGAGAGCTTTTACCAGCAGGTGGAAATCCTCAAAGGTTGGCCTTTTTCTGCTGGTTCTGGGGATTATTTTACTCTCTCTATCTCTTTGACAGTGTCACCTCAGCTATAGCACTCTGCAAGAATTAACAGCTTAGACGGACACTTTGCTTCTGATGGTTGATTCCAATCTTTTGCAGGATGAGTAGATCACACCATTATCTCAGTTGAGAGGGAATAACTTTGTAAGGACAACATACTCAAAATGCAGCATCAGATGAGAGGAGCCTAGTTGTACAGTGTTCTGAAGGACCACCACCTCCTGGCTTCGTGCCTCCGTCCCAGGGCCTTTCCCCCTACCACAGGTGCATTTGCCCCCTCCCCAAGCCAGGTAGCCATGACAGACACCACCTGCCCATTACCCATTTCTGGCAACCCAGACCACCATCTTTGGGAGGCTTTGTGCCCATAGGATGGGCCTACCCTGGGTTTGGGGAAATTTTCACTTCCCCAGCACTTTTCATAAAGCTGTGTTGGGATGGTCAGGGCATTATATGGTTTTTATCACAACCCACTTCTCTGGAGAGAGAAGTAATGAGTTTTTATTGATGTGGTTATAGCTTCTACATTTAATTATTGTTTCTGAGGGTTTTACACAGGGTAATTTTACTATTATTTGAAACTTCATATTTTTAAAGAGTGTAATAATTTCCAAACTCCAGTGAAATAATGAAAGCCCTTGGACCATACCACAGTTGCTTTGGCCCATCTGTGACAGGTGCTACAGGCATTTGTTACAGTGGCCCCGTTGGTTCGCCTAATGCAGGGTCCTGGCTCTCCAGGGTCCTTGCTTTATTATACATGTCCCTGACAGTGAGCTGCCAGCTGGTTTCTTGGTTAGTCTTTGTTGACAGTCTTGCTTTAGAGAGGAGACTCCAAATGTAAATAAGACACAACGGATTCCTTTCACTGTTTGTCAAGAAATGCAGGGTAAATCTCTGTTCCTCCCATTTTAGATCCAGCCGCCTGGGCAGCCCTGGCCAGCTGCACGGATGACTTCTTAACTCCTGTCACTCCTCCCTGAACAGAGACTTTGCACACCAAGTCCACATGTTACTTTAGGCAAAGAAACGATTCACTCTGAGTTTTAAAGTTGAAGAAAGAGAAGAGTAATTAAACTTAATAGTTGCTATTTTTAAATAATTTTCAAATATCTGCTACTTATTTATGAAGTTGCCAATCAAGAACACTATATAAAGCATGACTATTCCCATCTCTCTGTGGCTCCGTGACTGAACTTTGCATTGTGCTCTAGAGTCTCTGTGAGCCACCTAACTGGCCCGTTCTGAATGGACAGCTATAACCAGATCGTTGTACAGAAACTCAGCAGTTGTAGTGCTGTACATAAAAGTAAGCTCTAAAGGCACATTTGCTCCTAGAGCAAATTGTAATCTTTATTCTCTTTAAGATGCAGTTTCCCTTTCCTAAATTTGGGAGAGCAAGGGGAAGGAGTTGTGCTGAGAGAGCCCTGAGCCCACGTGTCCAGCCTAGCCACCCAGGCAGCTTCAGGCTTCCTGACTGGGACGGGGTTCCCACACATGGTTACAACCCTAAGTGCTCAGCACATTTGGAGCATTAGTATCAGCAAGATATGTTAAAGTTTAATTTGGCTTTGGAATGTTGAATTAGGGTGGTGTTTTGTTGTTTTTTTTGGTTGTTGTTTTTTTGGTCAGTTAAAAAAATTACAACTGTTCTAGAAACTATTTGTCATTTTCTTTCATGTTGCATTAAAGTTTTGTTGTCCTTAGGAAAGCTCCAGAATTAAAACATTAGCATTTGACCTGATGAAAAAATTATTTTAGTAATGAGTACAGGGCAGACTAGAACTATCCCATAGGGTTTCCGAGGAACGGCTAGTGGATTAGAACTGCCGACCTTTTGGTTAGCAGCCATAGCTCTTAACCACTGTGCCACCAGGTCTCCAGTAATGGGTAGTCTGTTTATTAAAAAAAAGGCAAGCAAGAAATTTTTTAAAGATACATAATTTCTTATTATCTTCTATAAAGTACTGAACTTGCATATGGTTTAAAGCAGCGAGTTGAAAGTATGCTTGACTAGGCCTTTTTTGACTTAGGAATGAAATGAGGAAAGTACAAACTGTCAGGTTTATTAAGTGTGCTAATATATCTTTGCAAATAAGGAATGACCAGTCTACCTGAAATGTTTACCAGCCCAGTTTTAAAGTAAATTAAGTTAGTACTATTTGCTGTCTTCCTAGCATGTACGACAGCAGATCTCAAGTTGTGATTACATGGTTGTTTGCTAAAACGAATACATTATTTTGTTGGAACTTAACAATTTTGTCATATAATCAGCCCTCACTCAGAAAACATGCCACAGTCGTATTCATCAGGGCTTACTAGACTGATAGGAGGAAAACGCTTTCTTAGGAAGTGCGTTAAAGGCTGAGGAATGCTACTATTCGGCTGTGTTTGGCGCACAGCTCTTCTTTAGGACAGTTTTAATAACCTAACCTTCAAAAAGGCAGTTTCTTTGTTCCCACTTAACACTGCTGTCTTTTCTCAGGGTGGAGCAAAGCCGAGTAGATATTGAACATGTCAATTTAATCCTGTTGTCTTTGAAAGCTTTTCCCATTGAAAAAGGAAACTGTGATGGGTGGGCTTAGCTTTAGTTTTAAATATTTTGCACATCTCAGAACAAATAAGAAAGATGTAGTCTTTCTAGACAAACCATCCTCCCTGCCCTCCAAATACTAAGCTCCCCATGTTAAAAATTCAGTTGTAGGACTTTTTTTCCAAAACATTTTTAGCAGATTTCATCTTTGTTTAGTTAGCTTGAACAGAGATAATTTTGCATTGATTTTTAGTAAGAAGCAGTAGTTATTCAAACTATCTTTTTCAGTAAATGCTAATGTTTGTCCAGTTTGTACCATAGATCTGTTTTTACTTTTCTCTGACTGAAAGACAGAACTGAATGCTAGAACTCTGGAATCGGACTGCATTCACAGTCCTGGCCTTTCTCTTTTAGCATGTTTGATGTCTAGAAGCCTTGAGCAGTGCTCCTGTGAGTGGGCGTGGATTACCACGTGTTTTTGTGGAGAACATTGGGCCTCGGTGTCCGACACCACAACAGCCCTTGTGAGGCAGGGCATGGTGGGAATGCACAGGCTGGTTCTGTCTTTCTGAGATCTACCCAATCAAACGCAGGCCGAGGAGAGAGCAGATGGTGGGAGCTCTTTATTCAGTGGGATCAGTTACATCAGCACCCTCCTCAGCTGTTTTTAGGGAAGCCATTAGCATGAGACCACTAACATGAATATTTACTATTAAATTCTCCTGAGCCTCTCCACATCTTTCCAATGCTGACTGTGCACTCAGCAGTTGTTTAAAAATAATAACAGAAATCTGGATAACTGGGGGCAGCCTGTATAATTTGCCTTTGGATGTGAACTACAATAAGTTACTGTTCAAATTCTACCCACACCTTTAGGATTTTTCAAGATGTGCTGATGTAACTGACCACTAAAAAATGCTTCTCAGTGTAAATTACTAACCATCTTCTTTTGGCTATTCTGGGTACCACAAACCATTTTTTAAAACAGTACCCATCTTGTGGATCTACTATTTATCTATCAGCATCTAGTATACAACAAACACTAAGTAATGTCTTTGCGTAATCATAGGATAAGACTAATATAAAATTGTTTAGAACTTTTTTTTTTCCCCACAATTTCAGTGTGTAAATATATAGTCCATTCAACAAAATAAAGTTACTGGAGGCGAAGTATCTGAACAAATGTAGGAAACTTTTATTTACTGGAAATTTTGAGAGGCTACAATTATTTCACAGGTTGCCGAAAGTTTTCGGCTCTCTGTTGTCTTAATATAGTTAAAAAAAAAATTATGTGGTAACCCAGAGTGAGCCAGTTCTGGTCCAGATTTTATCGGGAAACCTCTTTTCTTCTCTGAAGCTACTAACCAGATGTCTGATCTGAAGGGACATTTTTTTTAGTGCCAGGACAGGGGATGGGGGTTCCTGTTCATATGGAATCTTGACTTACAGGAGGAATTCTGCTACCCAGTGGAATGCCTCGCTCTGACCGTGGAGGAAGTGATGCATATCCGCCAGGTCCTGGTGAAGGCCGAGCTGGAGAAGTACCAGCAGTATAAGGATGTCTACACTGCCCTGAAAAAGGGGAAGGTATGGCTATTTAAGTTGACTGATCAGAAGAGTTAGAATGGTCAGTCACTAGCATGTCCTCTCAGAGAGCTGCATGTTAGCCAGATAGTATGGGATTTTCAGGGGGTTTTAGGAGGCAAGATGTTTTTGAGTAGACAGTCCCTGTTTCTGCCTTGCTCACAAGAGGGAGTATTTTTGTTCCCAACCTAGAAATCAGAAATCTGTGGAAGGTTTAAAAACAAGCATAATAAATAATGGTATGCCTTCATAAAGCCATATCTGCGTGTAGTCATTATGCTTTGAAAGGATCCGTAAAGAAAATGTCTGAGAAACAGGTAGACTTTTTCACAGCCTTCTTCAGATTGCTTCTAGGATGGTGAGACACTTGAGATCTGGGGCCTTTTGCTACCTTTGAGTAGCTGTTAATATTTACATCCCCAGAAAGCTGGAGACAGGTGTCAGCAAGGCACTTCTTCACAGCCTTCTTCAGATTGCTTCTAGGATGGTGAGACACTTGAGATCTGGGGCCTTTCGCTACCTTTGAGTAGCTGTCAATATTTACATCCCCAGAAAGCTGGAGACAGGTGTCAGCAAGGCACTTCTTCATTACCAGTTGTTGCTGTTGTTAGGTGCCATCAAGTCAGTCTGGACTCACGTGACAGAGTCGAACTGCCCCTTAGGGTTTTCTGGGCTATAATCTTTATGGGAGCAGATTGCCACGCCTTTCTCCCGCAGAGCTGCTGAGTGGGTTCGAACCGCCAGCCTCTCGGTTAGCAGCTGAGCGCTTAACCACTTCTACTACCTTTTAAAGTAGAATTACAATTATGCACAGAGCTAAAATATAATTATTATAGAGCCAAACATAAAAACTGACTTTGTCAATTTTCTTCCTCCTTCTATCTACTAAATTTCCCCAATATGTAAATTTAAAGTGTATTCACACGTAAGTTAGGAAATTAACTGTCAGTGATTTTCTTTTCCCTTTTAAATTTGTATGTTTTAGCTCTGCTTTTGTTGCCGAACCAGGAGATTTTCCTTCTTCACCTGGTCTTATACCTGTCAGTTCTGTAAGAGGTAAGTTATTTTGTAATTGATGGCAAGACAGATTTAGTAATTATGAAAGAAATAGCAGTTGCTTTAATTTTTTCATCATTTTTCTACACTGGAGTAATATTAGAAATGACTCATTCTGTTATGTTACATTGTCCTATCTTTGTGGGCTAGAAATACTAACTTCTTCAAAAGAGGGCACCAAACAATTATTTGGTATTTAACCTGGAAAATGTTTCTCTGTGAGTTCTTTCTTTTATATAAGCAAGATTAATTATAATAATATGTCATTTTGAACAGAAAAAAAATAGCTGGAATTGTTGTGATCCCTGGATAAACAAATAGGAAAATTCCAAACAGGTGTCCTTTCACAGGAATCAATGTAGCAGTGCAGTTTTATAGGTCGTCTGTCTTGTGGGCAATCCCCAGCTGTAGCACTTGTCACATTCTGTAGAAGGAGCCAGAGAAGGTTTGTGCTTTGTTGTGGAATTCACAGCACGCGAGCGGTGGTGTTTCTAGTTCCCCAGTCACATCTGTGGCGTCATGCCGAGTAACACTTTTGATTTTGTGTGCAGGCCGGTGTGCTCACAGTGCTGCAAAAAGGTAAGATAAGCTTGGCTCAGTTATAGCTCAGTTAATTTCAGTGGTTCTGCATCTTTAACAGTACTGCTTATTCTCAGTTTTATTTTGGAATAATAGATGCGGCTGCCATCCAAGCCATACTCCACTCTTCCTATCTTTTCTTTGGGACCTTCTGCCTCGCAAAGAGGAGAAAGCTTTATGAAGCCAGAAAAACCCTCCACCAGCCACCATCGGCCACTTCGGAGCCTTGCCAGGTGAGCATCCCAATTAAAGGACCCCATTCCTTTTGAAGACTGTGGCGAGGGGTTAGGTTTTTGGTTAGAGAGGGTTTGGTTGGTTGGTTGGTTTTAATATAGTCGGTTGTGACTTGTAAAAAACTCTCCAAAACATACCCAAAGGTGATTTGTCAAAGGACAATGGCTATTTGAAGGATACATTAATCTCATAGTATAACTATATTTTTTTCTACTTTAGAAATAACTACTTTATTGTGTCCTTTAAAGCCATCTTTAAATTAGACCTTATTTTCAGTGGAGTTGAAAAATTACACATTATAGCCTAACCTTTCTTTCCTCCTTCTCTAAGTTTGACCTGTTTAATTCTGTGCTTACCGTGCTCTGCAGTAGCTTTGACTTACTATTATAAAGGCAGAAATAAAGCTTTATGCCAAGAGCTGGCAATTTAAAACGAAAAAAAATTGCCTGAATCTCATTCCCTTTTCCCTTAATCCACGGTAGGGTTGGTATTGGTCCTTAGGCGAGGTGGGAGAGGGTCAGACCCACTCTGCTACAGGCTGCCAGGCGGGACGCTTCTCACTAGCTGCTCGTCCCGAGCACTGGTGGGTGTCGCTGCTCCTGTACTTGACAGCTCTGTGGACAGGCCAGCAAGTCACGTGTGCCCCAGAATACTGCCCACATGCTCAGCTGTCTGCTTTGCGATGCCGCTGCTCCATGACATCCTTTGGTTGTGAATTGTCACCAGGGGCTTGCGGCAGTCCACAGGATATACTCTCTTTTTCCCTGTGTGCCTGCGCCCATGTGGATGACTGTTTTCGTCTGTTACGTATTACCAGCTACATTCCTGTTTGCTATAATTAAGATGGTAGATGAATAGATGATTCCTACTTTTCTCAAAAAATTGCCAAAAACGTTTATTACGATGTTGTCATAGTTAACTCTGGCTATCTGGAATTCAAATAATCAACCACCCAAATATAGGGAACTGTTGGGAAGCAGAGGTATATTTGACAAATAGATGAATGACAAGAAAGCTAGTCAAAAGATATGTTTTCAGGAGGTGTCATAGGATGAAGACAAAATTACTTCAGTTTCCTATAGTCTGACCTGCCAGCTATGTTATCTAATAATATTCATTGATCTTGACACTGGGTCCCTGGATCACTAAAGAGAGAACTTGAGTACCTTCTGAGTCATCAATAGAACGTTAACAACATGTACTTCATTTTAGTTGCTAAAATTCACAATCTGTACGTTTGTGTGTGTGTATATATATGTATGTATATGTATATACATATATATGTATGTATGTTTATATGTGTGTATAGTAATATACATAATGTAATAGTGTGTATATACCATTTTCCAAAAATTCTAGAAGGAACAAGAGTTTGCAGTATTATTATTTCTTAATAAAACATTTTCTGGTTGTTGTTGTTTTTAATATTTCCAAACCTTGTCTCCAACAAATTCTTTTTGAGAAGAACATAATTACGATATTTTTACACAAATAATGGCTGCCTTCTGCGTTTGTTTGCTGACCGCAGGGGACCCACCCTCACAAGCACTGCCATGCCAATCCTCTTCCACATGTTGCTGTAAAAAAAAAAATTAACATAGCGCTCTTAGAAAAATACCTCTTGGGGGAAAGGGTGCAGCCGGGAAACAAACACAGAAGTTGCATATTATTTGTGTACAGATTCGATAAATCATTCTCATCCATTCCATAATGTTTTGGCAACAAATTTTCTTTTTTTACATATGCTATTAGTATTGCAGTGGAACTGTAAGTGATGATACTAGGTGGTTTTGTGTTTTGTTTTGTTTTTTTTTTTTTCAGGTTCTCCTCGAGGTCAAAGTCTGTGGAGAAATCAGATGAAGAACTCCAGTTTCCCAAAGAGCTGATGGAGGATTGGAGCACCACAGAAGTGTGTATAGACTGCAAGAAGTTCATTTCAGAAATCATCAGTTCCAGCCGGCGTAGCCTGGTGTTGGCCAACAAGAGAGCCCGGTTAAAAAGGAAGACACAGTCCTTCTACGTGTCCTCACCAGGCCCCTCGGAGTACTGCCCTTCAGAGAGGACTATCAATGAGATCTGAGCTCATTCCTCTTGGTTGCTTTGTGCTTCACGTCGGCGTCCATGTGTGAGGACACTGAGCTTCCTCTGTCATTTCATTTAATAGCCTTGGACTTGTATCCAATCTGATGTTTCCTGTATCACATTGTCCCCTAGACTGAGTGCTGTGTTCGTATTGATTGACAATGTGTGGCAGGCCAGCCAGCTGCTCACTTGCACTGAGAGAGGACAATAGTTTGAAACTTGTTTTTGTGTGTGTGTGGATTTGGAGTCCAGAAACTTTTTCCTTAGTTCAGTTCTTCACTGTTCTTCAAATAATTTTCTGACTAAGGCAAAAGCTTCTCACATGAGAAATCAGCCTGACCAGGTGTTGATATTAGCACAGTCTATGCAGTAAGTCATATTGACGCTTCCACCTGACAGTGTTCATGTCTAATAACCCAGAGCCCTGCCCGATGCCAGACACTTGTAGGCAGGACCTTGCTATTTATCGTCTAACAGCACAAAATCTAGGAGGATTTGCTAACACTATCAAACGGATTGCTAACTTATTGTTGCTGTGAGATAGAGTAAACAAGGGACTTGGCCAGCACCTCTGTGCAGGTTGTACATCCAGGTAGGTAGGCCGCGGTTTCCTCTGAGCTGCTGTGTCTGCCCCGGGGTGATTCCTCAGTGCCTCCTGTGTGGGCAGCAGCTTTTCACAGCCTTTCTTGAATACATCATGGTTACCATGTGTGAGGACACTGAGCTTCCTCTCTCTGGTTTCATTTTAGGCTTGGACTTGCATCCGATCTGATGTTTGCTGTATCACATTGTCCCCTAGACTGAGTGCTGTGTTCGTATTGATTGACGATGCATCATAGTTTTATGATGGAAGTCTAAGAATTAAAGTTTTGTGGGCACTTCAGGACAAGGAAGGCTGAGAGCCTGTCAAGAAGTTGAGCGTGTTGTGGCTGACAGTGACAAAGGTTTTGGCAGCACAGGGTGCCCACCCCAGCCACCTTGTGGGGAACAGGCTGGAGCTCGGACATTTCTAACTGCAGTCTTCATCACTTTTCCGTGTAGCCGTCATAACTAAATTAAGCCACAATTTGGCACCTAAGGTCTCAAATGGAAATTTATTTTTATAAATGAATTTTAAAAGAAAAAAGATTGTCTAGCTGTTTTAAAGTTTCAAGCAAATCAACCTGCTGACAGGCTTTCCAGATGCTTTTTGCACTAAAACTTTCCTTGTAAATGGCTTGAGTGAGTAGGTTGGGTTTCTTGATGAAGGCATGTTGGAGGGGAGCAGTGTATACCTGAAATCTCTGAGCTTGCTCGGCCCACAGCATGGGCTATACTTCATTATTTTGGTACGCTTAGAAGCAACCAACCAATCAAATGGCCATGAACGTTTGCAAAATCAGTTACTGCACATACACAGTAATTTTCTAAAAATTCTAGGGTATGTCTGTAGCCAACACTATGTCCGCACCATTTAATAAAAGGCATGACAGTAGCATTTCATACCACATCAGAATATAGTGACATTTCTATATTAAATTAACAGTAATACCTCAAAACTGCTCTGGTAGTAGTATTTAATGGATTGAAATTTATAATTCAATGTAACTTACAAAATAAACTCTGCCAGTTGACTAAAATCATGCATGTTAACATTTCGTCTGTATTTGCATGTAAAAGTGGGTCACCGGGGAACCCTTATTAATTATGTAAATGTTTAAGTTATTTTAAAAAGACTTTTGTTGAAGGGCTTTAGAACACTATATTGGACAAATCTTATTTATAAAATTTTTCAAGGACTAATTTGAACTTTATATACAGATCTGTATGCAGATCCACACACTTTAATGGCCCCAGGCCTGGGCTTCTCAAACACAACCAGGGAGGGGAGCATGTGGGAGGAAATGGTGTTTGTATATGTGTATGACATGCACCGAAGACAGTGTGCTTTTTAAAATAATGACTACTTTACTGTTTTCATTAAAACATCAGAAACTAAACCCTAAAAAATGAGAATTACAGTCACATAACGAACATCTAGTAAGTCTCTATCTTGTATTTCACATCTTAGGTTTATGATACTGTCTAGGATTACTCAGGCATTATGATCACCTATCACCAGAACATTCTAACATGAAGTCTTCAGTGGCATAAACAGGGTTTGCAAAGTACATCCAAGAGATCAGCTGGGTGGAGTGTCCTTATGGAACACTTTGCAGAAATAGTATAAGCAGAGGGCACACAACATAATTACAACTGTAGAAATCAAATCAGCATTGCTTTTTGGTGCCAAAAGAAATTCTTACATTTAACTCTTAAACACTTCAACTAAGTTAGGTAAATTCCATAAGGTAATTCACTAAGAGTTTGTGGAGCTTGGTTTTAAATCATTAGCCTAGTGTGACTTTAGACATGGCTTCCTATTCTTACTTCTAAAATAACATATCTTTGCAGTGTTGCTCTTTGTCTTAGTCCCCTGCTGTTTGGCATTTACCTCTGATCCAACAACAACAAAAATGTTGGCTGGCTGGTCTTATCATTTGGAGTCAGATGTATATTAAAGCTCTGTATCTGTGAATGGCCATTCCTGCCCCATCCCCTTCCTCTCATCCACACTCCCTCCTTCCAGTCCCCAGACCTCATTAAGTCACACTACGGGGAGAGCTGTGTCTTTCTTCCCGTAGCTTAACTTTCTATCAGTGTATCTAAGAATGCTTGTGAATACTGTAATATATTTATTAATATTTGAAAGGCATTCAGTGTACAATGGGAATTAACTCTCAAGGCAAATGAAAAATAATAGATATATACATTGACTTAACAATCTTACTAGATTCCAAGTCTTAGCCCTTTTGAATTAAACCAGAAGGTTGTCATGTAGGAGTTTAAAAAATTATTTTAAGTTTGAAGAGATTACGTGATTAGCACCATGAACCCATACCATGAATTTCTTAAGGCTGTTATTTTTCTAACTGTATTAATTAATATAGGACTCGATTTTAGGTGTCCCATAGGAGACAGAAAAGTTTTTAAATTATGTTGCTATTTGCTAAAGCAGAGTAGCAAAAAACTTTGTACATGCAAAACTGTTGAAGACCCTGAGGAGATGTATACTGGTGGGTTTTGATCAGCTCCTGTGTGTAAATGCAAGGTACTGCTGCCGTTCAGGCAACATGACAGAACCAAGCACTTTCCATTAAAGTCTTTTATTTTAAATATTATCTAGGGAGAAATAAAATGGCTTTCCATCATACCATCTGTGTTGAATTACTATCGTAACTGGTGATGCCTTTTGGTAATTAGCTGTTAGAAGTCACCTAGGCTAGGAAGGCAAAGTGCTTTTATCATTGGCAGCTTAAGGTCATTTTGAGAAATACAAAAGTCATATGTGGAGACTTTTAAATTATGTAGAGAGAGACAAAACTTTGATATATGATTTCTAAACAGAATTCCTCATGGGGTATGTTTCTAAAATGCCCCATGCTAGAAACATTTCTTTTTGTAGCATTTAAAGGCTTGAGGAATAGTTAGGAAGCTCAAACCCAAAATCAACATAGAGAAGTTCTGTTTTTACATGAACTGAGCTAGAGAACATCATCGTGGACCCTTTACATAGTTTAAACATTACATGATATTGGGTTTGAAATTAATTCATTTGTATATGCCATTCCCTTGTTTCCCAGACATTTTTTTAGGATCTCCTTCCACTGGAGTTTCCCTGCAATCTGTGTATAACAAGACATTTCTTTGTGTCTAGCTAATAATCCAAATGTTCAGTGACTTTCTAAGTCCAAGTCAGAGTCCTCAACTCATGCCTCCCAAATTCCAAAGATACAGGAATATTTGGATACCATAAATAGGAGAAGCTTTGAGTAACCCTTATTTAACTATATCTTTTTTTTTTTTTTTTGAGGAAAAAATGTATAGTTGTAAATCATCATAGTCCAGAATTTCATAAAGAGAATTTCTTCTAGAAAAGGACTTGATTGCATACATCATGCATATAAAGACTCCAGTTCTTATATCTATCTCTGCAGAATGTGCACATCTGTGTGTGCGCACACACACAGATACTCATTTTAATACTAACAAAGGGCATGGTCCTTCTTTCCTCCTGTCAGCCAAAGGCATATATCCTAGAAACATCTCCCTTTGCCCAACCAAAAGAGCCAAAAGAGTCTAAAAGGTAAAAACCTCTTAATATAAAACTTTGCTTACACTAATAAAAAGTTGAGGTGCAATTACCTGGTGGGACTGAATTACCTGGAAGACTGAATTTACACTATTATTCTGACTTACTCCATTAAAATGTATATGATGTTGATAGCAGAATCAAGATGTCAGAGTAGGAAGCTCCACACTCCCCTCCTCCCACAGAGAAATTAAAAATAAGCACAAAACAGCAGTGCTCACACTGTCAAAATGCTGATGAACAGCTGGGAGATCACAGCAGTGGAGAAAAGACTTGCGGAACATTTGAAAAAGTCTCTAATGTTCTACCACAGCCTACAACAATAAGCTAAGAGAAGGAAGAAGAAAGGAGAAGAAAGCAAGCAAGAAAACCTAGCAAACTCTGAGGAAGGGTGCAGAGAACATGAGTTCTAGAACTCATTTGTATTATTCAAATGCCCTGTTTCAACCAAAAAGTCACAACAGAAACAAGGAAAGATTGTCCATTCGAAGGAATAAAATAAACCAACAGAGCCCATCCTTGAGGAAGACCAGACATTGGACCTACTTGATACAGATTTTAAAATAACTGTCTTAAATATGTTCAAAGAATTAGAGACCCCAGAATCTATTGCCTGGAAACAACTTTTTGTAACTTGAGATGAAACTATCCCATAAAGTCATCTTTAAACAATTTATCTCAATTAATAATATCTGTCTTAAAAAAAAAAAAAAAGTTAAAGGAAAATACAAAGAACTAAAAACTTAAGAAAATGTATGAACATAATGAGAATATTAATAGAGATAGAAATTATAAAATGAAACCAAACCCAAATTCTGTAGCTTGGAAGTACAATAACTGAAATTAAAAATTCACTAGAGAGGTTCAACAGCAGATTTGAGCTGGCAGAAGAAATGATTCATGATCATCTAAAGTACAATTTAAAAAAAGTAAATAAATGCCATTAAGAAAGAAAAGAAATGAGCCATGAACTTGAAGATAGGGCAGTTGAAATGATCCAGACTGAAGAAAAGAAAGAAAAAAGATTAAATAAAAATGAACAAAGCATAAAAGAATTGTTGGACACCATGCGAGTCCCAGAAGGATGGTAGGAAAAAAGAGGGGGCAGAAAGAACATTTGAAGAAATAATGGTTGAAAACTTTCCAAATCTGACTAGAGACAGTTTGCACATACATGAAGGTCAACAAATTCCAAGTAGGATAAACCCAAGGAGATCTACGCTGAGACATATTATAATCAAATTGTTAACAACTGAAGAGAAGACTTTGAAAGCAGCAAGAGAAAAGTGAACCATCACATACAAGGGAGCCCCCGATAAGACTAAGTGTTGAATTCTCCCCAGAAACCATGGAGGCCAGAAAAAAGTGGAATGACATATTCAAAGTACTGGAAGGAAGAACTGCCATCCAAGAATCCTGTACCTAGCAAAACTGCCCTTCCAAAACAAAGGTGAAATTAAGACATTCCCTGATAAACAAAAGGTGAGGGAGTTCATTATGCCCAGACCTGCCCTAAAAGAAATGCTACAGGGAGTCCACAGTTTGAAAGGGAGGACACCATATAGTAACCCAAAAAACTGGAGAAATAAAGACCTTTGGTAAAAGTAATTTCAAGGGCAAACATAAAGGCCAATTTTGCTTTATTTTTTGGTTTGTAATTGTATTTGTTATATTCTACATAATATAAAAGACAACACTATAAATACTAATTATATGATTGTGGCTGTTATTAGCTGCCTTCGAGACTATTCTGCATCATGGAGAAACTACACATGCAGAGTAGACTGCTCCACAGGTTTTTCAAGGCTGTGACCTTTCAGAAGCAGATCACCAGACCTGTCTTCCGACGTGCCTCTGGGTGGGTTTGAACCACCAACCTTACAGCTAGTAGTCAAGGGCTTAACCTCTTGCACCACCCAGGGCTTCTTAATTATATACTGGGTATATAATGTATAAAGATATAATTTGTGACATCAGCAACATAAAGGGAAGGGTAGAGACGTATAGGAACTGAGCTTTTGTAATTGAAGTTAAATTGGTATTACTGTAAACTAGGTTGTTAAAAAGTTAGGATGATAAAGGTAATCTCTGTGGTAACCACTTAGAAAACGTCTTACTTTAAATGTGAATGGACTGAACTCTCCAAAATGCACAGATTGGCAGAATGGATAAGACAATATGACCCAAATGTACGTGGTCTACAAGAGACCCATTTTAAATCAAAAGATACAAAAACAGGTTGAAAGTGAAAGGCTGGAAAAAAAAATGTTCCATGCAAAAAGAAACCAAAAGAGAGCTGGGGTGGTATTATCGATTGAACTGTGTCCCCAAAAAATGTGTATCAACTTGGCGAGTCCATGATTCCCAGTATTGTGTGATTGTCCACCATTTTCTGATCTGATGTGATTATCCTGTGTTATAAATCCTAATCTCTATGATATTAATCACAATGAGGCAGGGTTAGAGGCAGTTACGTTAATGAGGCAGGATTCAATCTACAGGATTAAATTGTATCTTAAGTCAATTTCCTTTGAGATATAAAAGAATTGAGCAGAAAGGAGAAGGACCTCATTCCACCAAGAAAGAAGAGCCAGTAGTTGAGCATGTCCTTTGCACCCAGGGTCCCTGTGCTGAGAAGCTCCTAGACCAGGGGAAGATTGATGACAAGGACCTTCTTCCAGAGCCAACAGAGAGAGAAAGCCTTCGCCTGGAGCTGATGCCCTGAATTCAGTCTCCTAGCCTCCTAGACTATGAGGGAATACATTTCTTTTTGTTAAAGCCATCCATTTGTGGTATTTGTTATAGCAGCACTAGATAACTAAGACAGGTAGCTATATTAATATCAGACAAAACAGACTTTAAGTCAAAATCTGGTATTAGAGACAAAGGACATTATACAATGATAAAAGAATCAATTCATCAAGAAGTCATCACATATAAATATATATGCACCTAATAGCAGAGCCCCAAAATATGTGAGGCAAACACTGACAGAACTAAAAGGAGAAATAGTTTTACAATAATAGTTGTAGACTTCAACACACGATTTTCAAAAATGGATACACATTCAGACAGAAGAATAACAAGGAAATAGAGGATCTGAATGACACTATAAATCAACTAGACCTACAGACAAAGTATTTTCTCTGACCATAGTGGAATGAAGTAAAAATCAATAATAGAAAACTGGAAATTTGAAAACTGTGAAAATTAAACAACCAATAGGTCAAAGAAGAAATCACAAGGGAAATCAGAAAATACTTAGATTAATGAAAATGAAAGCAAAACTTAGGGGATACAGCAAAGGAATTACTCAGAGGAAAGTTTATAGTATAAATACTTCATTAAAAAGAAGAAAAAGCCCAAACCAATAACCTAACTTTATACCTTGAGAAACTGGAAGAGTCCAGAGCAACCAGACAGAAGGAATAATTAAGATTAAGGCAGAGATACATGAAATAGAAAATATAAGAACAATACTGAGAACCAACAAAACCCAAAGTTGGTTTTTTGAAAAAATCAACAAAATTGACAAACCCCTAGCTACACTGACAAAGAAAAAAAGATAGGAGATGCTAGTAACTAAAATCAGAAATGAAAAAGGTTTAAACACAAAAGAAAACATTCTTTGATGGTTACAAGGGTGGGGAGGGAGGGAGCAAGGTATTCACTAACTAGAGAGTAGACAAGAATTTTCTTAGGTGACAGTAAGGACAGCACACACTACAGGGGAAGTCAGCACAACTGGACTAAACCAAAGCTAAGAAGCTTCCTGAATACATTCAAACACTTTGAGGGACAGAGTAGCAGGGGTAGGTGTCTGGGGACCATGCTTTCAGGAGACATCTAGGTCAAGTGGCATAACAAGGCTTACTAAGAA